AAAAAAAAAAAAAATCAAGAAAAAAATTAAACAATTTCTGGAAGACAATGACAATACCTGTGCAACACACTAGGAACCTCTGGAAGACAATGAAAGCAGATATAATAAGTTCATTTGTAACAAATGATTACATAGGAAAATAGAGCATTTTTAAATAAATAATCTAATGTGAAACTTGAAGATGCTTGAGAAAAAAATGACAATTCTGGTCCAAACTGAAATTAAAGGAGGAAATCATAAAGTTTACTTTTGGTAGTTTGTACCTTTCTAGGAACTTGACCATTTCTTCTGTGTCATTGATTCTGAGAGTAAAAGTAGCTATTGATAGTCTTCTGATTTTCCACAGGATCTGTAGTAATTTCACCCTTTTCATTCTTTATGGCTTGAATTTGAGTTTGTTATTTACTCTTTTTGATGAGGTTAGGTAGGGGTATATCAATTTTACTTAATCTTTCAAAGAACCAGCTTTTGGATTCATTAGTTCTTTGCATTGTTTTCTTTGTCTCAAATTAATTTCTGCTCTAATTTTTATGATTTCTTCCCGTCTTTGGACTTTGGGCTTGGTTTACTCTTTCTTGAGGCTTGAGATACAGCATTAGGGTGTTTATTTGTTCTCACTGTTTTCCAAACATGTGAGTTCACTGGTATAAATTTCCCTCCAAGAACTGCTTTCATTGCATCCCACAAATGTGCTTGAATTTTCATTGGATTGTAGATAATTGTTTAATTTCTTGTTTAATTTCATCTATAACCCATTGATTCTTGGGGGGGTGTTATTTAATTTCCATGTGTTTATGGGGTTTTTATAGTTTCTTTTGTCATTCATTTCCAGTTTCATTGCACTGTGACCAGATAATATGCATGGGATAATTTCTGTTTTCTTGCATATACTTAAGACCTATGGACTAGTTTGTGGTCTATCTTAGAAAATGTCCTATGTGCAGCTGAAACAAATGTGTATTCAGATGCTGTTGGGTAGAACACTATGTATATGTCCACTAAGTCCATTTGTTCAAAGGTTTGGTTCAGTTCTACTACCTCTGCTTATTTCTTGCCTGCTTGATCTATCTTTTTGAGATAAGGGGATATTAAGGTCCCCTGTTAAGATTGTGATATTGGTTAGTAGATTTTTCATGATCTTTAAAATTTGTCTTTTATAGTTGGGTGCTCCTGTATTTGGTGCATAAATATTTGTGACTGTCATCTCCTCCTCTTGAATTTTTCCCCTAACCAGTATATAGTGACCTTCTTTATCTTGTTTGATCATTCTTGGTTTGAAATTTAGATTGTCTGTGAACAGAATAGCTACCCTCGCTTTTTTGTGAGGTCCTGCAGCATGCAGTGTTGTTTTCCATCCTTTAACTTTCAGCCTATGAATTTCTTTATGGGTTAAATGTGTTTCTTGTGTACAGCATATTGTTGGAATTTGTTTCTTAAACCACTGTCCAGTCTATTTCTTTTAATTGGTGAATTGAGTCCATTTACATTGGTGGTTATAATTGATATATATTGATTTAGATTTGTCATGTTATTTTCCTATTGTTGGTTCTCTACATTTGTCCTGTGTTTAAGGTGGCCATGTTTGGTGGGTTCTTTCTGTTGTCATGCTTAGAATTGTGGATATTTTGATCCCTTTCTAGAATATCCTTTAGTATTCTGTATAGTGTTGGTTTGGTTATCATGAATTTCTTTAGTTGTTCTTTGTCGTGGAAGTATTTCAGTTCTCCATCATACTTGAGAGTTTTGCATGGTAGAAAAGTCTAGGTTGGAATTTGTTTTCTTGTGAGACTAGAAGTACTTCACTCCATGCTCTCCTTGACTTAAGGGTTTATGAGGAGAAATCTGCTGTTATTCTAATGGGTTTTCCTTTAAATGTGATCTATTTCTTTTTTCTAGCAGCTTTTAGTATGTTGTTTTTGTGCTGGATTTCTGGGATCTTGACTATTATATGTCTGGGTATAGTTTTAATTGCATTGATATTATTTGGTGTTCTATATGCCTCAGTTACCTGAATGTCAGGTTGTTTCCCCATATTTGGGGAGTTTTCTGCTATTCTTCCCATGTTCTTTTTATGTCATTTGTGATGTATGTCTCTCTCACTGATGCCAAATAGTCTTATGTTGTTCATCTTTGCATCTTCTTGAAGATGGTAAACTATTTTTTCCTGCATCCTACTTGTTTTTAAGAGATCTTTTGTTACCTTTTCACTAGCTGCAATGGTATCTTGAAGATCTAAAAGTCTATTTTCACTTTCATTCAAACAGTTTTGCCAGCTTGTGATTAAGATTTTAATTTCCTGTATATCTCTGAATCTGCTTCATGAATTCTATTTCTTTCCTATATTTGTCATTCAAGGTTTTCATCATTTTTCTATTCTCTTCCATTGTTTTATCAGTGTCTTCTTTAGAAATGCTTCATAGTTCTTTCATTGTAGTTATTATTTCTTTTTTTGTCTGTCAGATTATCTCTGTTCTGATTTCCTCTATACTCTTCTGCAGTTGCTTCAGTTGCTATTATTTCAGAGATTTCAGGTGTATGGCTTCCACTTTCTTCTATGCTGATGTCTCCTGAATTTGTTCTGAGTGAACTCAGGGCCTGAGAATGCATTTTGTTCATTCTTTTTGTCATTTTCTGCTGCCACCTCTGTGACCAGAGAGTGCTTCTGTAGTTCTTTGCCTCAGACTGGGCTTGGCTGGTCCTGCCAAGGTGGAATAGGTCAGCTGCACCCAGTGGCTTCTGGTCACGCGGCTCCTGCCAAGGCAGAATGGATCCTCTGCCTCCAGTGGCTTCTGGTTCCACTACTCCTTCCCATTAGGCCAGGGTGGAATGGGCCAGCTGTACCCAGGGACTTCTTGACAATTTTTTTTAATCTAACTTCTTTTGGTAAATATAGAATAAGTGTATCATTAAATTATTGTTGTATATTAGTTCTGGTACCATGTATTGTTTTAATTATGTTCTGTATTATTGTTTCTAAGGGTATCCAAAATTTTTGATAGGATAAATGGAAAAAATGTAGATTTAGATACAAAATACCTGATGTTCTTTTTATTTTTCTCAGTATACATTTTAATTGGTTTAAGGGCCAGCCAGTTAGTTCTAAGGATGAAAGCACTTGCTTAGACAGACGCAGGGACTAGGGTTAGATCCCGGGTGTGCCGTGCTGGGCCCGCTCCTGGGGCACGCTGAGACTGAGTGAGATTGGGCTTGGCACCTATAATCCTAGTGCTTGGGAGGCTGAAAATAGGATTGTTGTGAGTGTGATCTGTATAATGAGAACCTGTAGACCCTGTACTAAATACATAGAAAATATATATATACAATTAATTAATTAACTGGTTTACACTTGGCACTTCTGGCAGATTCTAAGCCATCCTTGGAATTTAGCTAGCCAACAGGAAAACAGAAGAGTATTATGTCATATAATTTTAATTATTTCCCTATGTATGTAATACACAAAACAACTGTATCTTCACAGCTTACTAAAGTGAAATACTGAAATTTTAATATTCATAAATTCAGATTTGAAATATTGGTATAAAGTGAACAAAAGAAATTTAATTTGCTCAGACCTAAAGAAAGTGAAATTATTTCTGCTTGTGATCATATGAGCCATATTAAGGGATTTTAGGGGGAAATTTAAAGCTTACAGTATAACACTAGTAATCGCCTGTTTTTTTATTTTTCCGCAGTTCTTAGTGGTCTGTGTTCTAATGATTGTCCTCGTAAGATAACAGTAAGTAAACTTACTTCTCGATTATTAATATTTCAGGGAAATTTTCCCGCATGATAAATGCACACAGCATGGTTGTTATAAAGTACAAATTGTTACTGCTGGTTAGCAGTGATTAGAGTACGCTTCACTACTCAAAAAAACTTTGATGAACCTACCACATTTCCCCTAAAAAATTCTCATGGGGTCACCTCTTTTATGAAGCCTTTTCTGATATCTTGCCATTATTTAGGAACATTTAGCATTTGTAATATTTGTTCTCATAGTTTTAGGTTAGCTACCTCTCAGAACTGGAGTATAACCTTACTGTTTAGCTTTGCATAGTTGGTACGGAGCATTGGGTGAGATGTATACAAGGCAATTAGTACTTTAGATTCTTTATAGTGGCTTGAGAAGACCAAAGGGATGTGACCAGATTAGTCCCCAGTGTCACACCCCCTATAGTATACTCTTTTTGACTAGGCCCCACCTCTTCATTATGTCATTCTCTGTAACGCCATGCAATTATGATCCCTTCAGTGGTTTGATCTTAGAACACTCATGACACAATCACTTCCCAAAATCCCTTCAGCAAACAAGCTGTCAACATAACAAGCCTTTTGGAAGACTTGGTTTGGAATTCAAACTACAACTCCTTGTTTCACTAGAAATTATACCTCATTTAAAGTTAAGGAAACTGGGGCTCAGAAATTAATCCAAAGTCACACAGAGCTATTAAATAGTAGAACTTCAGTATGAAACTAGATGTTAAAATTATCGTCTCATATACTTACTATACTATTTAAGCACTACATTCTCAATATTTTATGTATAGTTAGGAATCTTCCTATATTTAAGATATGTGGAAACAAGCCCTGACCCAGAGATTTAATATAGGCTCAACCTGGCCATAACATCTCTGAAATAGTGAGGCAAGGGGGGGGGGAGAGCAAAAGGAAAGAGGTTAGTCTGCCACATATGGGAGCTCTGAGGCTTGATGGCCCTCAGAGATGGCTTCAAGAGAGGCAGAGGGACCAAACCTTAGCATGCTGCATTATTCAGACATAGTACTCAGCCAGCTCCTGAGAAGAGCTTCTAATTTTTGAGGTAGATCTCTCCAGTAAAGAATAGTTTACAAATATGACCCAGTTGTGAGTTACCAGCACACAGACTTGCAACAGCTTGGGAAATACCTCAGTCCTGAGGGGAAGAGCTGGATGATGCACTGCTACATCCATACTGACTCCGAGGAATTTACTGCAAGTGAGAGAGGACTACATAGCTTCAGTTACATGTTCACACTGAAAATATAAAGACTATTAGAAGCCAGATGTGGTAGAGCATGCCTGTAATGCCAGCATGCTGGTAAGCTGAGGCAGGAGGATCAAAAGTTTAAACTCAACCAGGACAATTCATCAATTTAGTGAAACTCTTATCTCAAAATAAAAAAGGCTCAATGAGAAGGCCCTGGATTCAATTTCCACATACTACCAAAAGAGAGAGACAGAGAGAAATTTCATCTGCCAAGGAAGCTGCTATCATGTTTCCAACATAGCTGAGGAATTTGGTGAAGGAGGTAGGTTACTAACCCAACAGAGCCCCATACAGTCTACATTCATAAAAGTGGCACTGGAGCATGGCACATGGAATGACAGGTTAATTCTGGTGTCATGTACAGCCATATGAGGAGAGCCATGCACTCTAAGAAACACAAGTCATTTTGAGAGAGAGAACACAGTCACGTAGCAGTACAGCACATTTTTATAATTGTTCTAGTTCTATTATCATTATTGATCTCTTACTCTGCCTACTTTATAAGTTAATCCATAATTCTTTGTATTTTTGCCATGTGGTTTTGGGTTGTATTTTTATATATATTTCCAGCGCTGGGCATTGAACCGAAGGCTTCATACATGCTAGACAAACACCTTCCCAGTGAGCATCCCCCCCCCCCAACCAGCCACAAAAGTGTTGTGGTTCTATTCTAGGTAAAACCAAGTGAAGTTTAAAAAAATAAATAAATAGAAATTTACTTAAAATATTTACCTTTGTTAAGGAAAGGATAAATTAGAATTTAGAAAATAATGAATTATGTAAGCACACTCTCAGATAATGAATTATGTAAGCACACTCTCAGATCATTTAAAGTGTTAAAAATTTTATGGTAGCCAGCTTTTCTTTTCAAGTACTGTGTGTTTGTAGAAATGATCTCTATGTCTTTGTAAGTACTGTGTGTTTGTAGAAATGATCTATATGTCTATGTCTATGTATCTCTTACTCGACCTAATTTATAAGTTAATCCGTAATTCTTTGTATTTTTGCCATGTGGTTTTGGGTTGCATTTTTATATATATTTACAGTGCTGGGCAGCACTGGAAATATACTTATAATAGATTTGCCTGATATTTCAAATCACTCCCGTATTTTCCAAGGCTATTTCCTTTCTTATTGCAGCCCTTTGGAGTGAACCAACCTGGACCTTACATCATGTATACAACTGTTGATGCAAATGGGTATCTGAAAAATGGCTCAGGTAAGACTGTCGCTGTGGGTGATGGACCCCATCACCAGATGCGTCCTTGGGTTCTTATGTGCAATTCACAAATAATTGGATGTGGCATGTGACAGTATGAAAAAAGAAAAGTTTAATGAAGTATAATTCGGTAATGGAATTCTCATAGCTACCAGGCCTGTAGTGGGAAAGAAAAATGACATGCACACTGAACATGTTGGGTTTAAGAATTTAAAATGTGTCACTGAGTCTAGGGCACCTCCCATTAGGTTTTTCAGAGTGTGACTGACAGTGTGATTGACAGGACATTGAGTCGTGTCAGCTATGACTGCCACACATCTCCTTCCCCATAATTCACTCTGTTATAATTCACTCTGTTATGCATGGGATGCAGTATGTATGCATGAGCTTTCAGTGTGCTTCAGGAAAGAAAGGTTACTGTAGGTCATGCTGGAGAATCTAATGGATATCAGCTTGGAACTTCAGAATCCACCAAGGTAGGTGCTTTCTTTGCCCCACAGTAGTAGACCTTAGGACAGAGATCTGTAGTTAGCCCTGGAACATAGGTTCAGGTAAGTGGAGGGGAGTAACGCTGGAGCCCCAGTTCTACTCTCTATATTAAGGCAGCATATAAACATTATGTTTCTACTATTCAGAAGCACTTTGATTTAATATATTGACAAGGTAAACTGATGACAAACCGCTTCATAAAATTTTCACTTTTATTATACTCTGTTGTTCTGTAGACCATCTCAACATAACAGATACTCATAACAAAAATATTAACATTTAACTCTTTTGTCACTATTGTAATGGATCTAACTCATTGTCTCTGTTTTTCACTTGAATTAACAAAAAAAAAAGGGAAAAATTGCTTGATTTCTCTTCATCAAGGGGTGAAATGGTAAATTATTTAAATTAAACTCATTTTAAAGGAATATATTAGAAATCTAATTACTACTACAGTCTAAACCAATCCTGTTATATGGAATACGAGCTGAAAATACTGTGATTTTTTTTCACATATAAAAGAAAAAAATCAAGTATACATTTTAATAAATAATGAAAGGAAGTTCAATCAAAACAAAAAAAAATGAACAAAGGATATCTATATGTATGTATAGTAGACAACTGACTTAAGATTAGGTCCAGGTTACAGTGAATTCAACTGTGATCGTTTCCATTTCCTAAATTAAAAAAAAAATCCCACTATATTACTGTGCTTCTCTAAGACTGACAGTTTTAATCACTCTTTTTTCTTTTTTCTGTTTTTTTAAAGAAAAAACTCATTTTGTGGCCCATTCATATGTTATATACTATCCTTACAAAAATCAAATATATAAGAATGAGCTTACTCTTCAGGTAATTTTACCTATTTGAAGCTCAGTCATAATGATTTAGGACAGAAACATTTCATAAATAAAAACTTAAAACTTCAAGGAAAGGTTGAGAACCAATTATAATCAAATAATCATCACTTGAATTTGTATACATATTATATTTAATCCAAAAAAAGACTCTGGGATCAGTTTTATCTTCTGTAAGTTAAAGATGTAAATAATTTTACTACTAAAGTACGATTTTCCAAAATACATTGAAACAAGATAAAAACTGATGAAGTCAGCCAATATACCCAGAAAACAAAAACTTAGCTCATTGATGAAATTCCTTTCTGAAAAACTAACAGATTGCATCTGCCTACATTTCCAAAAAAGATACCACCATCAAGTAGATGATTATCTCAGGAATATAAGAGAATACACTCCAATCAATTTTTTAACATCCTCCCTCCCTTTTTCTTCATATAATGACATATTGTATGCATCTTTCTACGTCTAGTCATTTGAAGTCCTAGTTTCTTTTAAGTTGGTTTCGTGTGCAGATAGAGTAACAACTCTATAGCAGCACAATTTGTGATAGCCAAATCTTGGAAACAGCCAAGATGCCATCACCTGAAGAATGGTTGAAAAAGATGTGGTATTTTTACAAAATGGAGTATTACTCAGCTATAAAGAATGATAAACTTGAAGCCTTTATATTGAAGTGGATGCCACTTGAAGATATACTCGTAAGTGAAATAAACCAGACACACATGTATAAATATCGTATAGTTTCCTTACTATAAGAACTCAAAAGAAAAAATACAAATAGAAAGGTATAATACAAAAAAGAAAAGCAGGAACTCGAGGACTAACTAATTAAGAGAGAGAAAGGAGAAGAGCTAGGAAACATGACAGTGAGAAACCATACAGTTATATGTAGAAGATGGACAAGGCAATGATCCTGAGAATCTCCAGAAGATTTTTGAATCTAGCAGCTAATTGGAAAGATTCTCACCCTGACTATATATACTTATACCTGTGAACTAAACAACTGCACTGTAGATGGTAATCTGTAATATAGTTTCATGCTTGGAGTACCTGTCATTCTGGTCTTCTGAATACAGGCTGCTTGTCATGACATGCCAGTTGCTGCTGTGCTGTCTCTCGGGGAGACGATTGTTCAGAAAAGAAGGGGTTGGTGAATGAAGGCAAGAGACAGGAAAAGGAATATTGTGGGACTGTCCTGCTTCAAGGTTGTATATGGTTAGATTTTTGGACTTATGTGTAAACATAAGAATTATATAACTCTGTATACCTATTTTTT